ATTCGAATGGAGAAGAACGAGCAAGAAACTCAATTCTCGTCGTTCTACAATGTCTCTGATACATATTCCAATACTGTACGTATATATATGTGAGAACAATGCAAAGACACGCTTGACGCATATGAACACATCGCTATAAAAGAGTACCAGATACCGATATATCTAAGACTACGTGAAACGTTCAGGTAGAAGAGTTGTCCCCCCGGCCTCCGTAGACATCTTGTTTCCTCCCTTCTATTTCATTTCTGGTAATCGAAATTCTATATTTTTATAGAGTTACCCAATGTACTCGTAGATACACAGGTAATAAGATGGTATTACTGATGATATCTCCGTCCAGCGGCCGCCTCTTGCATGTCAGCCTGAGCTCGTGCAGCCCTGCACATGTACCGCAACGTAAGTAATATATAAGTAAGTACATGCAGAGCGTCGAGGCAGCAGGCCGCGTCACACAACCGGCCGCCCGCGCCGTGAACTTTCTACACAAGGCCGAAGGGCGCGCCGCGGACTTTCACTTGTTCATCAGGGCGACCATCGCGTCGGTACACGCGGGACCGGACCATCTCGTGTGACGCTCATCTAAACATTTCCAATCTAGGCACTTTAAGTGTGGGAGAGCCATGCCATGCACGACTGGGCCGGCTCGACCGGAGTGATACCACCTACGAGCAAAAGACCGACGTGAAGCAACGCTTGCGTTGTGTTTCGTCGTCTTGGTGAGGTTACCGGAGGACCAATTACCCCACAAAAAAGGCACATTTATAGAAATGAGTTAGTATTACATACATTATTACTTTTATCCCTGAAGGGGTAGGCAGAGGTGTACATTATGCCACTGTACAATGTAACACCCACTTTTCACTATTTATGTTATGAGTCCCACAATTCCAGACTCCGTGCTACTACTTAGATTTTTTTTAAACCCAGTAATACTTTACCCGACCCGGGAATCGAACCCGGGATCCCTTGCCCAGCAGTCGCACTTGCGACCACTCGGTCAACGAGGCAGTGTATTTGCAATATCTGATGGCAATGATGTGTCTAGTAAAAACAGACGCGGTGAAGTGTCCGCGCCCCACCTCTCCGTGTCGCACTCGATGCTCTTGGCGCTTACGAGGTTCCATAAATCATCTCCCAACCAGAAATCGGACTCGCAACACGTTGTAAAGTAACTTATTGCGCAGAAAATTATACTTTTACGAAAAAGAAGCGCCGCAGAAGCTAGCTCCTTCTGCTTTTTCTTATAATGGTCTAGTTTATCATTCAGATATAACATGTCCATGATTCGAGCAGGCTAGTCAGCCACACAATGAGTGAGGACTGTCCACAGTTCCAGCGTGGTATGGTCGCCCTACCGCGATGGGTTGTATGATACCGGTCGTTTCCCAAATATTGGTTACCGCGCGGCGCTCCTACCGCGTGTCGTAACTCCGTCCGCGGTGTCTCAGTGTCGGCACATTCCGGACAGCGAGTGACGTCACACACACACACACATACACATCCTTGTCTGCTGTCTCCTTCAGACCACAAAGAGGTGGACGTGCGCCCTGGCACACAGAACGCTCCCGAAACGCTTCGAGGAAATAAATTTTAATATTTTTAATAGTTCCTCGAAGCGCTCCTAGAAGAAGCGGGAGCGCTTAGATGGGCGCGTTTCTAAACGGGAGCGCTACGAGGAATACCTCGAGATTGTGTATTGTGACGTCACGTTTTTTAGCATCAAACAGCGTATTGTACTTATTTGTTAAACATTTACTGTAAAAACACTTACATGAAGTTGGTCATAAAATCAATGAATGATAGTCTGATTATTTTTTAATATTTCATTGCATTAAACAGTCGAAATAATTTATTTGTGATTTAATTGTGAATACCTAATTGAGTTGCGGATCATGGAGGAAACTGTTTGATTGCGCCATTGTCCGGCGTCAGACTGCAGACAGGTGGCGCTAGTATCGATTTGAGAGATGTTGGTATCTGGCAGCCACTGGCAGGTACAGACAGACAGACAGATAGACTCACTCACGCAACAGTTCACTCACATATTGTATGTACATACCGCGCAATATTACATCAACTGCATTCCTCAACACACCACTGGAACCTGATCTCTGCTGCAGTACAGATACTGTTAGTACACGGGTCAGTTTATAGTGGTGGTGTGGCTGGTTAATTCAATAATTGGAGGTTCGTTAGAGAGGAATGGAACTAATGTGATTACTGATATACGCACACATATACATCACATACTGACATACGCACACATATACATACTGACATAGACATACTGGAAGGTACAAACACTTTTTTTTTAACCCTTTAACCGCCGACAACGTAATATTACGGTTTTCGAAAGCTGTGTCCGAATCGCCACATACGTACAATCACGTTATTTTATTAAAAATCTTCTTATAGCGCACAAACTCCATATAAAATGTGTCAATTTCAAGATGTAGGGTATAATCTTTATTGTTATGGATATTTCTCAATGTTTTGAGTGATAAATACTGTGAAATTTGAGGTTTAATTAAATTGTGGTCACCGTCTCCATTATCTGTATCGCCAATCACGTAATTTTACGAGTACTAGGGATGGGGCGAATTCGAAAAATACTTAATAGGTTGTCTAAGAACAAACAAGGCACTATAGATATTACTGTCACTATTTGCAATGAAAGTGTATACTTTCATTAGAAAATAACCATAGTGTTACTTTGATGCAAGTATTTGTACTAATTAAAATGTATTTAAGTTTAAAATTATTTAATATTTATAACAATAATATAAAAATTTCATAACGCAGAACCGCACTAGTGCGGACAATCGCCGGTCGCCATCATCGTAATATTACGTGCGGCCAAGGAGATTATAGCGCTGTATTGTGAGTTGCCTTAGCGCCGTCACCGTAAAATCACGTTAAACATTTATCACTCAATGCAACTAGTGTTGTAAGCCCTTTTTTGGGTTTTTGTTATTTCTCAAATAAATCAACACAGTCAAAACCAAATGTGTCCATTATGCAAAGTTAGAAGATGGTGACGCAAAAGTTTTTGATCAGAGACCAAGTGATCCACGAAATGAATACTTTGCATCTTTAAAACCTTTTGAGCTGGAAACCGTACTGTCGGAAATCCGCTCAGAAGTTTACATGAAATTATTAAATTTAATACGACATGCTCGTGGAGCATCGTCACCGTCGCCAGCAGGAGAACGGACGACGCCGTATCCATTTCCCGAATACACATTTTCGTATACTTCGTTTGAAGATTGAAAATTTTTAGATTATTTATTAAGTAGGTAAATAAAACATTGATTTTAATTAATAAAGAATATATTCATCGATATTAAGTGTTCCCAACACTGTTCCAACTTATACCTAAAGTGACGTGGCGCTGGAGGTAAGTTGAAAGTTCAGAATCTTGGCGGTTAAAGGGTTAAGGGAGGAAAATCATCGAATGACTGGTCCCGCCTGGGTGAGGCGAGAGGGAGTGTCAGACTCTTACTGACTAAAAACCACCCCGTTCCTTCTCCTGCACGTCGAGCCGGAGCCCCGGTAACCTGTTAAGTTCTCCGCGAGGGGTCTATATGTATAGTTATACATTAAAACTTATAATTAAAAAAAACTGCATTTAAAGAACCGATTTCACAAAACTAAAAACTAAATAAGTGCAAACAAAACGCAAAAAACTAAAAAGCAAAAAAAAAACAAACTATTCATCGACCATGGTCGCCAGTCTGTGTCACTCACGTGTAACTTAGACTAGTCCACTGCGCAGGAGATACACCGGAGCACTCTCTGTCCACTCACTCTCTGGACGACGGCCCGGCAGACAGACACGAGGAGAGAGATCAGCAGCTGTAGCCAAATGCCAGTTAGCGCTTGTCTACGTGTAGAGTACAAAACCAAATTATATGGAATTGACGTAAATTTTGACACTTGTCAGTGTCATCCCTATACATTTAGTTTTCTACTCTCTCGGTAGACAAGCGCTACAGTGGCGTTTGGCTAAAGGCACTGGAACGGCTACACATGCGTATTCTAAGCAACGGGGGTACCACCGCTGACCATCCTGACTTGCCTTCTTCTTCACTATGTTGGAGTTAGCTCTGGGTCTGAGTTTGAGTCTCGGATAACCGGAACTGCAGGACGATAGTTCTCTCAAAATGTTTTTAATTTGTAAGTAATTTACATCTGCTTGCTCCGTCAGCGTTATAATATTGTGTACGTACGCCGTGGCCCGTGGAGCAGGGAGAGGTACGAGCCTGTTGCATGCGCCACTGACCACCGCACCCCGCGCCCCCGCCCTCGCGCCCCCGCGCCCTCTCGGTATCCTTAGGACGTGGCGCAAGGGATGCGAGGGCGCGATACCATGGACATTCAATATTCATAGGAATACTTACGTAAAATAAATAATGGGACAGAAGCACTGCCGGACAAGTACCAGGCAGTGTCACGGTTAGCTAGCAGCTGTAGGTCGTTAGCTAGTAGCTACAGGTCGTTAGCTAGCAGCTACAGGTCGTTAGCTAGCAGCTACAGGTCGTTAGCTTGCAGCTAATCTTCCTTTTAGTACTTACTAGCGACCCGCCCCGGCTTCGCACGGGTGCAATATGCATGATATAAACCTTCCTTAAGAATCACTCTACCTATTAAAAAAACCGCATCAAAATCCGTTGCGTAGTTTTAAAGATCTAAGCATACATACGGACATACAGCGAAAGTGACTTTGTTTTATACTATGTATTGATAATATCTTTTATGAACTATGTGAAGCAAGAAATAAAGAGGCTTTTTTATTTTTTTTATTTTTAATATTGTAACTTTCGCGAGACACAGTATAGTAATTATTATGTTTTCGTCTTCGTCAAGTAACTGGTCGAGTTCCTCGTCCAACAGTCGACCGCCGCCTCCCGTACCTCGCGGCCGCGAGCTACTGAACCGTGTTCATGTCGGGGGTTGCGGCGCGCTCCGCAAATAGCGTTCAGTCGCACAGCGCGCCGCGACATACGAGGCGAACGAGACGAGCCATGCTCTAACGTGAGTACTAGCACTGTCTACCCCCGCACCGCGTGCCAATATCCTCCCACAGTCCCAGCACCTAGAGGTAACTAGTCCGCCAGCGTCGCGCGTACTTGTCATTCCAGACCATAATACGCCGGTTCCAAATTCCATCCCGATCCCTTCAGGCGTTGTGACGTGTTTGAGTGACAAACAAACATACACAGAAACACACTCACTCGTATTTATAATATTAACTAGCGACCCGCCCCGGCTTTCCACGAGTGCAATATGTATGTATTATACCTACATATAAACCTTCCTTAAAAATGTCTTAATCTATCAAGAAAAACCACATCAAAATCCGTTGCGTAGTTTTAAAGATGTATTACACAGGGACAGACAGACGGATAGCGACTTTGTTTTATACTATGTAGTGATTAGTAAGATTTTCAGACTTTTAGAGAAAATGCTCTAAAACAGCGTCCTGTTTAGTGCAATGGACTGTCACTGAGCGAGTAACCAACAATTATATTGTGAACCTGATTGAAAAAGAGTAACCTATGGAGTTTCTTGCTCGTTCTTCTACATAGGAACTAGTCTAAGACTGGACGACAGACTGACATTTAAAATGTTTTTGTTTCGCGTTCAAAAGTGCCTTCGTCTAATTAAAATAGATAATTGATTTCGACCTTCAGACGTTAAAGTGTTGTTTGTGTGACTAAGAGCTCGTCCAGTTGTCCGTCGACCGTCTCCTCGTTTACCAGCCCATGCTACAAAAAAGCTCAGAGGTCATAATTTTAGACTGCCTTGTTGCCCGAGGTCGCAAGTTCGACTGCCGGGCAAGGGGTCTTGGGTTCGATTCACAGGTCGGGCAAAGTAATATTAAAAATCTCAGTAGTAGCAAGGAATCTGAAAATGTAGCCGGTGTGTGGCAATAGACTCACCCCCTACTACATGGGACTCATAACATAAATAGTGGAAAGTGGGAACACCCACTGTGGCCACTGCACTGTACAAAGTACAATGTAACAACATTGTACTTTGTTGGTGCCATATATCCTTAAGCGGTCACCGGTGACCGCTCTCCACTAGCTACATTATAGACCTTATTTCCAATGTTTAGAGATCACTTTTGTATGAACAGATTTTCGAAGGGTTAAGTGCCGTAATGTGCACCTCTGCCTACCTCTTCGGAGATAAAAGGCGTGTTGTTATGTACGTATATATGTCATAATAAGCACTATGTAGGTGCAATCCACTATGAAATGTGTACCAACACTCCAGTATACTGAGACCTAAGTAACAACAACAACGAATACGGAAAAACCACTCAATTCTAAGTAGATATAGTTCTGTCTCTACAAATTCTTTGTCAACTGACAGAGATGGCACTACATATATTCTAGTACGTTTATCTTACAAATTGTAGTGATTAAAAATCCTAATTGAAAAATATAATAAACTCATTACTCGCCGCTACAATTTTCGAAAGTTCCCCTCGGTGTCCCTAGGATCCCATCATCAGATCCTGACCTACGGAAATGAGACCATAGCGAGAGTACACCCTTTCAAACAAAACAAGAATTTTGGAAATCGGTTCACAAATGGCGGAGTAATGCGCGAACAAACAAAAAGAAAAAAATCTATCAGCAGAACACAGTACCTCCTCCGGTTTTTGAAGTCGGAAGATATTTAATAGTCTTTCAATATTCAGTCGTAAGATCGATACGAACTCAGAGAACAGTCTCCTGTACATGGCACAGTAGCTCCAGCTGTTCACATTGGCGATACATAATAATAATATGTCGGCATTCATTACGTGTTCCCGTTGAGTGAGCACCGCTTCAGTGCCCTCCGTCTCTACTCGTGTGACGACCGCGCTCTGTACGTACACTACTTCAAAGCATTTCTGTCGCATACACGATATTTCGGTATGTATGTATATATTATACTCTTATACTATTACTAGCTGTTGCCCGCGACTTCGTCCGCGTAGAAAATGATTTCTGTTTTATCCCATGTGAGCATTAAATCGGAATAAAAATATCCTATCACCTAAGTCAACCCATACCCTGCCTGTATACCAAGTTTCATCGTGATTGACGGACTAACAACCAAACAAAGGAACTTTCACATTTATAATATTACTAGGGTACCCAACAGACGTTGTCCTGCATATCCACTTGAATGCTTCTTTATTTCTTGAATTAGTTGTAATTTGAATGAATTTTTGTTTAATTAATAAATTAATTTATCCTAAACAGCTGAACAGCTGTTTAGGATAAATAACCTAAACATCGACAACAACGCCATCTGCCGGGCTGATTTGTGAATTTAAACTGTAGTGTGTGTGACACCTCGCCCTATAAGTAAGTAGCGTAAGTTAGTTATTAGACACTCAATTAAAGTTATTCCTAAGAACAACACGTCCCCCTCATTGCTCCACATTCCAATAGTTAAAAGTGGGTGTTACATTGTACAGTGCCATAATGTACACCTCTGCCTATCCCTTCGGTGATGTTATGTTGTAAATATTGTGCGTGGCGTGTATGTATCTGTAGCTATATACTGCAGGCGGCAGAACGCGGCTCCTGCGAGTAACAATGAGATCAACAAGCAAGTAGGTCGCCTGTGTCGTCTGTGTCGTCTGTGGGAGACTGGGAGGGCGACCTACTTGTACGTACATATTTATTTATATAATTATGCTTTATTGTACACATTCAAGGTAGTCGAGTATGAACGCGCAAGACTTTTAATAAAAAATAATTTATTTAATTAATTACAGTACCTACACAGGTATGCTCAGCATGAGCGATATGGCGATATCACTACATAATATAAAACAAAGTCGCTATTCGCCGTCTGTCTGTCCCTATGTATGCTTAGATCTTTAATAGATAGAGTGATTCTTAAGGAAGGTTTATATTGTGTATAATAGATGCATATTGCACCCGTGCGAAGCCGGGGCAGGTCGCTAGTTAAATAATAAACGCTTAAATCTATGTTACATAATCTTAAATACTAGAGAAAGGTTTGTATGTGTGTGTCTGTGTGTATCTGTGTGTGTATGTGTGTGTGTCTGTGTGTATGTGTGTGTGTCTGTGTGTGTGTGTGTGTGTGTGTGTGTCTAGACCTCACAGTGGGCTAGCAACGGAAGTAGTTGGTGACAGATTACTTCATCGTTAGCTGATTAGGAGAACCTAATAGACCTTCCTGTCACGGGTGGCATGGCGTGCTCAGTGTTCGTGGTACTGGCTGATTATTTATTTATTTACACAGATAACATACAAATATCCTTACAGGCTAGACCCAATGCGATATTGCAGCAAATATTAAAATAACAATAATAAACAAAATACAAACAAGAAATATCCATATACTCTATAGAAATATAATACGATAAAGAATATATAATAAGCTTTTACTACATATAGCAAATCCTATACATGGCTGCTCGTGTAAATTCTCCTAAAGAGCAACAGAATATGTGTACGTCATTAGCAACGAGGTTCAGAGTGCGAAGCGCACGCGTGAGCGGTGCCTCCCGCAGCAAGCTAGTTCGCGAACGTGGTTCTGCCAGGAACCGCGGCTGGCGACGACGACTCACGTATCCATCGGGCACGACCAGTTCAACCCTTCGCAATATATCCGGATTGTGTATCTTCCCCCTAATTATTTTAAAGATATAAGTCACCAATGCGAGTTGCCTCCTGACCTGTAGTTCATTGTATCCAACCATACCCAAGACAAACAGAGTTGGATACATTAATGGGTAGAATGAATATACCCCGAACTCTCTCATATACTTATATCTCATGAATTTATTTTGTACTCGTTCAAGCATGAGACTGTACTTAGTTTCATGTGGAGCCCAGATCACTGCGTTGCATTCAAGCTGGCTTCTTACTAAAGCATTATATAGTGTCGTTATTGCTCTCATATTTGTGAAGCCTCTAACCATTCTAAGTACAAATCCTAGATTTCGATATGCTTTCTTGCATACCTCGACTATATGATTACGAAACGTGAGCCCAGAGGTGAAACGAACTCCTAAGTTTTTAATCTCCATGACCCTAGTCAGCGGTACCCCATCCACCGTATAAGTATGTGTGACGGGTGAGTGTGCGCGTGAGGAACTTATGGTCAGTGTTGGGCATTAATTAATTAATTTATCAATTATCTTGTTAATTGACTAAAAAAGTAATTGCAATTAAATTAATCACGAATAAATTAATCGCAATTAAACTTTTAATTGCACCTTTCAATTAAATTAATTTAAATAATGTATGTCAATTGTAACTCACAATTAAAGTAATTGCAATTAACTTTTTTAGTTGTGTGGCGACACATGTCACAAGTCAACGGATGACGTCATAAAAATCCTACATCGCACATGCGAAGTTTACATTCGATTTAACATGGATAGAAAATCCCAACGAGCAACTGTTGGGCAGAGAGCCCGCCAGGCACGATCACCTCGCCTGGTCGGAGGATCCTCCTTTTCCGATCTTAGGGAACTATACTCTCTGTTCCCTAAAGTGGTGACCCCGACGTGATTGGAAGTAACCTTCACTTCACGGAGCAGATCAGCACCGTCATCCGTATCGCCATCCCTCTCATTCATCATTTCTCCGCTGAGCGGTAATCAAGTCGCAGCCAACCAGCATCCTCAGCCTCATCAGGGACCACCATCGCCTGCAACGAAGTTGTGCAGCTTGGTTCTTCCCTACGGCCTCACCAGCGTCTAGGCACAGCACTTCTGCACACGGTTCTGAAGGACATCTCCTCCCGTCAACGCAGACGCCAGCCACTACGCACCTACCCTCGCAGCATCTATTCCCCGACTCACCGTGGGACACTGCGAACTCATCTCTCCGACTCACTGGAGTATCGCCCTGCACCGCTCACCCGACTCACTGGGCACTCAGCGGCACAGTTCCGACTCACTGGAACTAGGGACTTTCTACACTGGCTCTGGCACCGCACATCTCAAGCATCGACAGCCGTCTCAGCGGGATCGACCTTCGGTCTTGGGA